AATATCACACATTAAATAAGCTATATTGTAAAATTAAATTACTACGTACACTAAGTAATTCAACCACATATCTCAATATTATAATTTCAAATAATAAACTTTTGTAAAAATAATATTGAATTTGCATAACAATATAGTTTCATATTATATCGCATGATTAATTATATCACATAATTAATTTAAGAAAAAAAAAGATTTGTGGCTCATTCTCCAATAAACATACTAGAAAATTAGGACCAAAAGATGTAGACGTTCTAGCCTACAAGAAAATAATATGCACTGATGTTATAAGCTATCAAAGGTTTTATGTAACGATCCACTCCATCACATAGTATGATATTGTCCACTTTGGGATCAAGCTCGCACGATTTTATTATTAGATTTTATCTCAAAAGGCCTCGTACCAATTGGAGATAACACCACTACATAAAATCACTTTACCTTTCCCTTACGTAGGTGGTGTGGGACTGTGCACCTGTAACTTGCTCAATGTGATAACATGTCAGTGCCTCTTGCACCCGTCCACGACACACTCACCTACAAGGTTGTCACATTTTAGGTCCACTCTAACCTTTCATAGGATTAGGATCTGCAACCTTAAATAGACACCCCCACACTTTTAAGAATTTATAGAAAGGTTTTCAACCTTTCCATAATTCATATGATGTCATATTTCTAAGGTTTCATCTTTGGTTCGTGGCAAATACACATAACGGTATCTTGTGCAACCAATGATAAAAGTAACGAAGTACTTTTTTCCACCTCTAGTTGGTACATGTTTAAGGTAATGTCATATACTTCATAATATTATATTATAAAATTAAATAATTCAACCAATATTGAATAATTCAATAATCCACTTATATAACATGCTTCAATTTCACATAATATTGAATGCATTAATATTTAACATATTATCATATAATAATGTATATAACATTATTTTATCATATCTCAACTATTAGTATAATATCTACTTGTTTATATCTTAAATAGAAACATATAATAAAATCTACGTAAGGAAGGAATCTGTCTTAAGATTGTTAGAAAAATTTATACTTAATGTAACTTTTAAGATATAACAACCCTTATACTAATATGTCATGAAATAATTAAAAATATTCTAATAAATCATTAATTAAATATGCAACTCTATATTTAATAAAATATGCAAAATAAAGCAATAAAATAATAATAATATGCAAGGAATGAACCTGGACCGAGGCTAGTATTGGATACTATGTCCTTAAGACAGATTCGCCCCGCTATGGTGCTAACGGACTCAGTGGCGTCTATCTCCCAAGATACAACGGTCTACATCCACCAGTAGCAGCACTACAAACTCGTGGATACGGCGAGCCTCCTCCGTGTAATACTCTCTCTGACTCAAAAATGCATTTATATACTATATAAATGCTGAATTGGGTGTAATCCGAACCAAATGGTTCGGACCAATCTTAATATGGCTCGATGAAATTGAATTAGGGTCGAAGTGGCTCGAACCACTTAACCTATGGTTTGAATCCACTTGGGTTGGGTTCCAGTCTAGAGAGGGAGATAGAAGAAAATGAAAAATGAATGAATTGCAAATGATCCAAATGGGGGTATTTATAGAAACGGATATGCCTTTTCGGATTGGGTATATCTCTTCATTATTGGACACAACCATTGCAATAGGTTGCAATGGTTCACATGGTGTCTGTTCACCATTAGATACATCTATTCCAATAGGTTGCAATGGTTCACATGGTGTCTGTTCACCAATAGACACATCCATTCTAATAGGTTGCAATGTGCCTTTTCGAGTGGGTGCAACCATGGGTCATGATGGTTCGAAAAAAAAGTGTAACCCTTTGAAAAAACTAAAAAGTGATTTTTTAATTTAAAAGGTGTAACCATTTTGAAAAACTAAAATATGGTTTTTTTAATTTAAAAGGTGTAACCTTTTAGAAAAACTAAAAAGTAGTTTTTTTAATTCAAAAACCAACCACCTAAAAAAAAACCCACTCATTTGTGAAACCCATTTAAATAAGCCCAGCCTAAAATTAGGCCCAATCCAAAATTCCAAAAAAGAATAATCTGGACTTTACAACTAGGCCCAAGCCCAAATCCTAAACTCAGCTTATTTAAATTTCAATTTGTTTCAATATTTTTTCCATGTGGGACAAACACTTCCCACATTTTGCATACCTATTTAGGCTTATCAAGACACTACACTTTGGAGCTAATTTCTCATTCATCCGGAAATGGATTTCAGAAAGTAAATATACCATGTTCATCTCCTTGTGGAGAGAAACGCGCTTGTCTAGAGATCCGTAAAAAATTATTAACGGAATCTATTTCAAATCTCATCCAAAGTTTATGTTTTTAATGCCCCCGTTTCCAACAGTGTAATCACAGGAAGAGACCAACAATTGGGAGGTCCTTCAAAAGCTAGAGGTGCAACTTGGTTACTATCAAACTTTGCCACTCCCATAAAAGAAGTAGATCGATCTAAAAGCTCTTTCAAATATTTTGGTTGCTGCTTTTTACCCTTCTGAATAAAATGATTGGTCGCGTCCCTGTTATTCTCCATAATCTGTAAGGGAAGTTCCTCCTCGCCTTCAAGATACAAAACATAACGGCTAAGATCTAGTTTTGTACCAGCCCTCCATTCAGGTTGTGTGTGATTGTTTGAGACGGTTGGATTACATCCAAGCTTCTGCTTTAGCACCTTGTAGTAGGGCCCAAATGAGATCAACAGACTCGTTAAGAAAATAGAGATGACCAAAATTAATTTGCTGCCCTTGACAATCTTAATTTGAATTCCTATAAAGATATTTAGAATTAGATGGTTTTATGAATAAGTTTTCTGAATTTTTGGCCCCGAACTTGTAAAGCTATGGGGCTCTCTCTCCACCCTACTAGCCTTTCGATCCACTCAGATTTGTTGCTCTCGACTCTTTTCTCTGAGCACCTTAATCTTATGGCCGTAAACGATCCAAATGCTGGGGCAATTGTACCTACAAACACCACAAAACACTGAATCACAAGAACCACAATGGTTGACCAACGATTGTGGTTACTCCTGCAGCCTGAGGTACGCTTCTGCAAAAGTGACTACAGCGAGCAAACAGATTGCCGCTGAAGCATAGCAGGTGACAGAACGAGCTATAACGAATTGTGGGCTACTAGTCTCTGCCATCATCCAATACTTTTTTACATTCTCTTTCAATTTCTCAATTGTAAGCTTTTTGGTTTCCGCTGATTCTTCAACCAAATTTTTTTTGTGTACGTATATCATCATAATTCAGTTGTAAACGCTTTTTAGTGGTGGAAACAGTCAAAGCTGTGAAACCCGAAATTACAAGCAAAACAAGCATGAAAGACAGAGCTGCAATGTGTTCTACCACGAGAAAAGGATTTATTACTAGAGTAGTTAATTGGATGCAGACATTAATAAAAATGGTGATCACGAAAATAACCAAGGCTGTTATGTTCATGAAAATTTCTGTGTCATTCATGGTTCCTAAAGTCGGCAGAAAATTACCCATTGCTGTGGACATGAAAGGGGTGCTGCTAAGTTTCGCAAGCTGATCTTCAGCAGTTGTCATGCTGGTACTTAGATCCACCGGCAGCTTCATTGCTACAGCTAATAATGTGAGGGAAGCGGCATTGAGAGTGAAAAATTTGCACGGAAACCAGAGTTTTCTGTGGCGAAACCCGTGGAAGATGTCAGCAGCCATTGCAAGGGAGCAGACTAGTGATGCTGCTGCAATATAGATGCCGATCCATGTCATTGGTGATTCAAATCGATGAAGTGCATGTTCTTTCCTATCCTTGTGGAAAATCTCGAGGCAGCAGTCATGGGTGATAGAACTGTAGTCGCTGCAAGACGGGTGCCGTTCCTGCATAAAATAGTTGTAATTGTAGCAGATGGGCTTTTCCATTTTTTCTTTGGGGGAAAGGGCAAGACCTTGGGCTGTAGATTGTAGTTGTACGTAGGTCCTGTCACCTGTTAATGCTACTACACACACACACACACACACACACACATGTATGTTAGAAATTTTTGGATGGTAAAAGGAAAAGCCAATGAGAACGAATGTGCTGGCAGTCAAATTTCGTGTGCCAGAGGTAAAAGAATGATTTTGAATGTGCCATCCAGACCGGGTATTGCCCAAACCCATTGTATTTATATGAAAACATGTAGATTTTTATTTATCAATTTACATTCGGCTAGTACATTGGTTGTCTAATTTGTCATTTCTCTCCATATATCCATGCATCTTTTTCTATTTGTTACTTATTGATTTATATTTTTCCGCACCAGCATGCCATAATCTAATCTTTAACGTGTCTGTATTTTCTTTATTTTATTCTTATTGTTGGTCTTTGCATGTGATGTTAGATTAACTAAATATGTCTAATTTTCTACAAATTGTTTCAGTTTTTTTAGAGATTCGGAATAGGTTTGACTAGATCTGGGCCATCTAAGGCCCGGCCAATAAAAACGCTCCAAATCCCTTTTTTTTTTTAGCTTTCATTGAATTTTTATTCTTTTTGAGAGAATATTCACTTGTTTGATACAGGGAGAACAGTTAAATTTTCGTAATGCTTTGTCCCACGCTCCGACAATTTGGGATTCAAATGAGTGTGAAACTGTGTAATAGGCTAATGGTAGTTTAGAGAATAAATTCCAATGCTCACTTTTATGTAATTAAGTTTTAAATTTGATGCCTATTCATTTTTTTAAAAATTTATGATTATTTTAAAAATAATTTATTTAGAATTGATCCCTAAAATCTATTTTTTTTATTTTATTTTATTTTTTTTTTATCTTTAATTAACAAATAATGATCAACAGACAGCTTTGTTTGATTATAGCATAAGCTACAAGAGAACAGTATTAAATAGACAATAGTTATATCTTTTTGACAATCCAAATCTTCCGCTGAAGTCAATATATAGCTGAAAACTCAAAAGATTAAAATAATGATCAACAGAGAGAATGAATATATATATATATATAAAATAGACGAAATCCACCTACATTTTCTGTGTTTATTATATGATGTCCAATCACCACTACAAAGGCTATTGAACTAGATTTTCACCATATTACAGAAAGGAACAGCCAAACAAAAAATAAGATGCAAAGAAAATTACACCACCAGCAAAAGGAAACAGGATCCCAAAAACACCTCCAGCAACTCCAAACTGCACTACAGCTCACACTACACTCCTTGATTTCCAACAAATCCTGCAGATTAACATTCATGACATTTTCATCATGTAAAACTTGAACAAACAATGAATTTTAGTACTTACCGAAAATAAAAGAATGAATTTTAGTAGTATAGTTCTTACACCATAAACATGAAAAATGCATATTAAGCTAGTGTGAAAACCGTAATCCCAAATACACCATTCAGATTCATGAATGGATTGTGCATCGTATAGTTATTAATTCCATCCAACCCAGATTCTGCCCCACAAATGATAAATCCACTTTCAACAAGAATTTAAGTTTTTCAAAACTTTTGTAGAACTGAAATAGACGTAAAATTGGCTGTAAATATTTTCAGGGTTACTGCCTCAGGATTTCTAAAATTTGAGTGGTTTACATGAAAAGGGCTACCTACGAATCTAGAAAATTCAAATAATATCCAAAGGATGGATGTGCTCTATATGAATAGAATAAATTTATATTACAAACATTAGAAAAAGGCTACCTATGAATCCAGAAAATTCAAATGATATATCTAATCAAACAATGAATGTGCTGTATATGAATAGAGAATAAAATCTACCCGCTCAATATCACATTCAAATGCTGTGACAGTTCATAGAATATCTAAATATAGAAAAGTCGTAGATGATCAGGACATACCAAACACTAGCGATGGCATAATGTGCTTGTGTTTTCTCAAGCATCCCACCTACTCAATAGCTATATGCAACTGACAAGAACCAGAAGAGGATGAACCACTGTTGGATGAAGAAGTAAAAGCCGAGGGATCTTTCTTCTTCATTGAAGCACGCCACTCATCGATATCAGCCGCCTGATCAGGATTCAGACTAGGAAGTTCACGCTGTTGAAGGATTTCGAGAATCTCTTCAGTTTCACCAAGAAGATGAGCTGCATGCTGAACACTTTTCTCCCTTTCTTCTATGGCACTGCAAAAGCATTTTGTAGTTATAACACGTGGCATGTTGGTAAGGCAAGCACCCAATATATCGGCAACCATAACAGATAATTGATCAAACAGTCTTTCATGATCCATCCGATCTTTGCTGCCTTCTTGGTCTAGCAGCAAAGTTTGGCTGATTCTGTACATTGAATTAGCAGCAATAACCTTCATGGGCCACTTCAAAGGGTTCTCCTTCCCATTCAGGTTTGCCTTGAATTCCATGACAATACTTCTTGATATGTCAAGAAGTCTCTCCAGCGTCTCCTTTGAGGTTTTTCTTTCAAGAGCGATTTTTCTGAGATCTTCATCTAGCCACTTCCGGAAGAGATCAACTCCTAACCACACTATGTCGGCAGTATTTTTGATGTTCACCAAGTCTCCTTTGGCATCCAAAATCTTTTCTACAAGGTTGACAAACAAGAGGCCTTCTCTCACACTTTGAAGCAACTCGTTCACCTTGTGATTTTCATTGTTTGGAAGTGCAACGGCAATACTTGTTAGTGTAATCACAGGAAGAGACCAACAATTGGGAGGTTCTTCAGAAGCTAGAGGTGGAACTTGGTTACTATCAAACTTGGCCACTCCCATAAAAGAAGTAGATCGATCTATAAGCTCTTTCAAATATTTTGATTGCTGCTTTTTACCCTTCTGAATAAAATGATTGGTCGCGTCCCTGTTATTCTCCATTATCTGTAAGGGAAGTTCCTCCTCGCCTTCAAGATACAAAACATAACGGCTAAGATCTAGTTTTGTACGAGCCCTCCATTCAGGTTCTGTGTAATTGTTTGAGACGGTTGGTTTACATCCGAGCTTCTGCCCAAATGAGATCAACAGACTCGTTAAGAAAATAGAGATGACCAAAATTAATTTGCTGCCCTTGACAATCATAATTTGAATTCCTATAAAGATATTTACAATTAGATTCTTGGTTTTATGAACAAGTTTTCTGAATTTTTGGCCCCGAACTTGTAAAGCTATGGGGCTCTCTCTCCACCCTACTAGCCTTTCGATCCAGTAAGTCTCTATTTTCAATTCAGATTTGTTGCTCTTGACTCTTTTCTCTGGGCACCTTAATCTTATGGCTGTAAACGATCTAAATGTTGGGGCAATTGTACCTACAAACACCCCAAAACACTGAATCACAAGAACCACAATGGTTGACCAACTATAACCGCCTGATTCAAGACTACTCCCTTTATAAGCTTTGTACTCCTCGGGGTTACTCTTGCGCAGCCTGAGGTACGCTTCTGCAAAAGTGACTACAGCGAGCAAACAGATTGCCCCTGAAGCATAGCAGGTGACAGAACGAGCTATAACGAATTGTGGGCTACTAGTCTCTGCCATCATCCAATACTTTTTTACATTCTCTTTCAATTTCTCAATTGTAAGCTTTTCGGTTTCCTCTGATTCATCTACCAATTTTTTTTTGTGCATGTCATCATAATTCAGTTGTAAACGCTTTTTAGTGGTGGAAACAGTCAAAGCTGTGAAACCCGAAATTACAAGCAAAACAAGCATGAAAGACAGAGCTGCAATGTGTTCTACCACGAAAAAAGGATTTATTACCAGCGTAGTTAATTGGATGCAGATATTAACAAAAATGGTGATCACGAAAATAGCCAAGGCTGTTATGTTCACGAAAATTTCTTTGTCATTCATAGTTCCGAAAGACGGCAGAAAATTACCCATTGCTGTGGACATGAAAGTGGTGCTGCTAAGTTTCGCAAGCTGATCTTCAGCCGTTGTCATGCTGGTACTTAGATCCACCGGCAGCTTCATTGCTACAGCTAATAATGTGAGGGAAGCGGCATTGAGAGTGAAAAATTTGCACGGAAACCAGAGTTTTCTGTGGTGAAACCCGTGGAAGACGTCAGCAGCCATTGCAAGGGAGCAGACTAGTGATGCAGCTGCAATATAGATGCCGATCCATGGCATTGGTGATTCAAATCGATGAAGTGCATGATCGTCACTATACTTGTGGAACATCTCGTGGCAGCAGCCAAAGGTGATAGAACTGTAGTCGCTGCAAGACATAGGGTGCCGTTGCTGCATAAAATTGTAGCAAATGGACTTTTCCATTTTTATTTGGGGGAAAGAGCAAGTCCTTGGGTTGTAGACTTTGGGGGAAAGGGCAAGTCCTAGGGTTGTAGACTTGTAGTTGTACGTTGGTCCTGTCACCGGTTAATGCTACTCTATATATATATGTATGTTAGAAATTTTTGGATGGTAAAAGGAAAAGCCAATAGAGAACGAATGTGCTGGCAGTCAAATTATGTGTGCTAGAGGTAAAAGAATGATGTTGAATGTGCCATCCAGACCGGGTATTGCCCAAACCCATTGTATTTATATGAAAACATGTAGATTTTTATTTATCAATTTACATTCGGCTAGTACATTGTTTGCGGTGACTTTGTGGGCGGGTGTGTGTGAGCGTGTGCAGAAGGTACCAGTAGACAATTACACTGGGCGAGTTACAAGTGCACAATTCCACATCGTCTTGGTGTGGATGGGGCAAGTGCTATATGTAGATTCAACACCCTTCTATGACATGACGCGTTTTAAAACCGTGATGACCGTGAACCCATCAGAACTCTGTAGTTAAGCGTGCTTAACCTAGAGTAGTACCAGGATGGGTGACCCCTTGGGAAATCTCTGGTCTGGGTGAGCTAAAAGCGGACAATATTATGTCCGACCAGGGTGAGGGTCGTTACAAATGGTATCAGAGCCTGATCCAGCCGGAAGTGTGGCCAACGAGGACATTGGGCCCCAAAGGGGGGGTGATTGTGGCGACCTTGTGGGCGGGTGTGTGTGAGCGTGTGCAGGGGGCACCAGTAGGCAAGTGCTATATGTAGATTCAACACCCTTCTATGACACAACGCGTTTTAAAACCGTGATGGCCGTGAACCCATCAGAACTCTGTAGTTAAGCGGATAATATTGTGTCTGGCCAGGGTGAGGGTCGTTACATTGTTTGTCTAATTTGTCATTTCTCTTCATATATCCATGCATCTTTTCCTACTTGTTTCTTATTGATTTATATTTTTCCGCACCAGCATACCATAATCTTTAACATGTCTGTATTTTCTTTATTTTATTCTTATTTTTGACCTTTGCATGTGATTTCAGACTAACTAAATATGTCTAATTTTCCACAAATTGTTTTTATTTTTTTAAGTTTATTCTTTGCTATGTGTTCTTTATTTACTTATAAGTTTTTTTTTAATTTTTTTTTTTTTATGCTTACGTGCATGTAAAATTTTGAATTGTTTAAATGTGTTTTACTTATTAAGAATCTTGTGACTTATTTGATTCTCTAAATAAATAAAGTGAGTGTGTGAGTGAAGTGTGTGTGACCACACACACACACAAAAAAAAAAAAAAAAAAAAAAAAAAGAGATGTTTTACTTAATATGTATCATGTCATATTCTCTAGATTAAATGTTGTGGAACACAATTTAGTTTTAAAAAAATGATACTGGTTCAGTTTTATCTTTTATTTCAGTTTTTTTAGAGATTCAGAATAGGTTTGACTAGATCAGGGCCATCTAAGGCCCGGCCAATAAAAACGCTCCAAATTTTTTTTTTTTTTTTTAGCTTTCATTGAATTTTTATTCTTTTTGAGAGAATATTCACTTGTTTGATACAGGGAGAACAGTTAAATTTCCGTAATGCTTTGTCCCACGCTCCGACAATTTGGGATTCAAATGAGTGTGAAACTGTGTAATAGGCCAATGGTAGTTTAGAGAATAAATTCCAATGCTCACTTTTATGTAATTAAGTTTTAAATTTGATGCCTATTTATTTTTTTAAAATTTATGATTATTTTAAAAATAATTTATTTAGAATTGATCCCTAAAATATATATATATATATTTTTTTTATCTTTAATTAACAAATAATGATCAACAGACAGCTTTGTTTGATTATAGCATAAGCTACAAGAGAACAGTATTGAATAGACAATAGTTATATCTTTTTGACAATCCAAATCTTCTGCCGAAGTCAATATAGCTGAAAACTCAAAAGATTAAAATAATGATCAACAGAGAGAATATATATATATATAATAGACGAAATCCACCTACATTTTCTGTGTCTATTATATGATGTCCAATCACCATTACAAAGGCTATTGAACTAGACTTTCACCATATTACAGAAAGGAACAGCCAAACAAAAAATAAGATGCAAAGAAAATTATGTAAAAACTCCAATTCAATTTGTGTTAGACTTTAATCACAAATTATCATAAAATTCTAGATTTTAGAACTTCAATTAATTTCACATTCTTATAACGCATAAATAAATATAATTAGATATACATACCTCTATTCATGATATCAAATCTTATTGACATTAAATCCAACGTCCAGATACTTTAACCACGAACCAATCTGCAACTCTGATCAACAGACAAAGCTGGAAACTGGTTTCTCTCTCTTGGCCTTTTGCACACAATAACCTTTTACGTGTTGTCTCAATAATCGTACATAATTGATGGAGTATATACACTTTTATAAAGGTAGAGAGAGGACCAGTTTTCCTTTTAGAAACATAATTCTACTTTCCATCAAAGTAAGGAATTAGAAAGAAAACACTTCTCTAATAAGTAATTACCAAAAAAAGTAATTATAAGTTGACCAAGAATAATTAATTGATATCTATTTACTTAGCCACCAAGTAATATGTCACATGTCCAAATCATGTGGGCCACAATTAAATAAATAATCTTACATTCTCCCACTTGGCACATATGATAACTTCTGTAGTGATTTAGTAAAATAGTCATTAGTGTGCACCATAAATCAAATTAAGATATTAATATGGTCATCATAAATACCATGGTAAACAAATTACCAATGTGAGTCATGGCGGTTGTATGTCACTAAACGACACAGTCCCTTCCATGTACCACAACACTAGCAACCCATTTAACATAGTCTATAAGTGAGAAGCATCAATAAAGGTCTAGCAATAATGTTTTTTCGAAGGCTATTCCTGTTTTCGTCATTTAAAGTAATACATGCATGTACATACATAAATTAACAGGAAATATCAGAAACACATTTTAATTAGCTCAAAATATCAAATATATATAAGCATTGTTAAGCAATCCACAACAAAAAATAATAATTAACTTTGATTACATTCAAGACCCATTCTTTCAACATGCCCTATGAATGTCTTGGGTGGTAATCCTTTTGTCAATGGATCTGCAACCATAAGCTGTGTGCTTATATTTTCAAAAGACACTCGTTGTTTCTGAACTTCTTCTTTAACGGTAAGATATTTCAGCTCCATATGCTTAACGCTATTGGAATACTTATCGTTTTTAGTAAAGAAGACAGCTGCGGTGTTATCACAATAAATTTTCAGCGGTCTGGAAATTGAATCCATAACACCAAATCCTGAAATAAAGTTCCGCAACCACAAACCATGATTTGTAGCCTCAAACCATGCTACAAATTCAGCCTCCATAGTTGATGAAGCAATAATAGACTGTTTTGCGCTTTTCCATGATATTGCCCCTCCAGCTAAAAGGAACAAATAACCAAAAGTGGATCTTCTACTATCCACACATCCAGCAAAATTTGAGTCTGAGTAACCAATAACCTCTAACTCACCAGTCTTTCTAAATGTGAGCATATAATTTTTTGTTCCTTGTAAGTATCTCATAACTTTCTTTGCAGCTTTCCAGTGATGCATTCCTGGATTGCTTTGGTATCTGCCTAGCATTCCAACTGCAAAACCAATATCTGGACGAGTGCAAACCTGTGCATATATCAAACTTCCCACAATAGATGCATAAGGAATATTTTGCATTTCTTTTCGTTCTTATTCATTCTATGGGCATTGCATCAAACTAAATTTATCCCCTTTCTGTATTGGAACAATACTAGCTGAACAATGTTCCATACCAAATCTCTCTAGAATTCTCTCAATATATGTTTTCTGAGACAATCCTAACAATCCACGTGACCTATCACGGAATATTTCTATTCCTATCACGTAAGATGCCTCACCTATATCTTTCATCTCAAAATTCTTAGAGAGGTAACTTTTAGTTTCATGCAATAAACCAAGATCACTACTAGCAAGCAAAATATCATCAACATATAAAATCAGAAATATAAACTTGCTCCCACTAACCTTCTGGTATATACACCGATCAACAGTATTTTCATTAAAACCAAAAGAAGTAATAGTATCATTAAACTTAATATACCATTGTTGGGAAGCTTGTTTAAGTCCATATATTGACTTCTTAAGTTTACAGACCATGCGTTCTTTACCCTCTAATCTGAAGCCTTCAGGTTGATCCATATATACTTCTTCCTCTAAATTCCCATTTAGAAAAGCTGTTTTCACATCCATTTGATGTAACTCTAAATCATAATGAGCTACAAGCGCCATGATAATTCTAAAGGAATCCTTCTTAGATATAGGAGAGAAGGTTTCTTTATAATCAATGCCTCCTATCTGAGTGAAGCCCTTGGCTACAAGTCTGGCTTTATATCGTTCAATATTGTCATTAGAGTCGCGTTTGGTCTTAAAGACCCATTTACACCCGACTTGTTTAAATCCTTCAGGCAATTTAACGAGTTCCCAAACTTTATTTTGTTCCATTGACTTCAACTCCTCGTTCATGACATTAATCCAATTAGTAGAATTATTACTATTAATAGCTTGTGAATATGTAACCGGATCCTTACATATCCCTATATCAAAATCAGATTCATGTAGATATACCACATAATCATCCGAAATAGCAGGTCTCGTTTCTCTTTGAGACCGTCTTAATGTTATTCTTTGTGGTTCTTCTATAACATCATTGGTGATAGTTTCATTATGGAGTTGTTGATCATTTAATTGTTCTTCGTTGTTATGCAGTTCAACAACTGGAGAAACAATTATTTCTTTAGAAGTTGTGGTTAAAGGGATTTGTACCCTAACTTCTTAAATGATCACATTCTTATTTTTATCACTCCCACTGATTTCACCATCCTCAATGAATCTGGCATTATCGGTTTCAACAATTCTTGTACTATGTGTAGGACAGTAAAACCTATACCCTTTGGATTTTTCTGGGTAACCAATAAAGTACCC